GAGAGAGAGAGAGAGAGAGAGAGAGAGAGAAAGAGAGAGCGAGAAAGAACGGCGACCGACGATAGTTTTTTCGCAATACTCTCTCGGAATATTCATATTCCTTTCACTCCAAAATCATCTTTACTTGTATCGCAGTGTCTTTCATTTTCTGTTTGTAAGAAGATTTATTAGTGAGACGAAATCACGCAGTGCTCGTAATAATTGTAAAGAACAAGAGAAAGGGGCAAAACGTACAACAAGCGACCGATCGGACGTTTATATATTTCTTAGGCGTAATTATCATTATGGCAGACGAGTGGACTATTGATATATTGAAGAAATGGAAATTTTCTTCGTACGAAGCAATATTTAAAGGTAATTTTATTTTTCATTAAAGTTGTTTTTCAAAAGTTTTTTTACATATTTTATTATTTGTAATATAAATTTTTACGTTTTTTGTCTGTATGTGAAAAGTTAGTGCTGAATATTTTAAATAATTTTAAATCATAGTGTTCTGTATTGTCATTTTCATTCTATAATTGAAATTCTTTCCCTTGCTGTACTTTCTCTTAATTAGAACAAGAAATAGATAAAGACAGTTTTTTGAAGCTAAGTGATGAGCATATACGTTTGTTGATTCCTCGACTTGGCCCACAAGTCAAATTTCTAAATTTATGGAAAAATTTAGCGTCTTCATTACAGAAGGTAAAATATATCGCTCATTTGCTGCAATGATGACATAACTGTAAAATAATTATTTTCTATAAAATGTTTAATACAAAGTACAAGCAAGGACATTTCCCCTATATAATAATTCAAAAACGCCAAAATTTCATATCATTGTAAAAAGATTATATCATAATTGTTGCAGCAAATGAGCGATTTGTCCGTCATTAGTTTTAAATTATTTATTAATAGCATTTAATCTTTCACGTTTTATTTTCGATTTCAGATTGAAAACGTAGAAATTCCAGAGGAAACCAGAATTATTGATACAATAGATACCATTGACGATAATGGTACTTTTGTAATAGAGAATATATTATTTGAAAATATATCTGAAGAAAAAGAACCAATTGATGAATCTTCTACTGATCCTCTACTGTCGATACAGGTTGAGGAGTCACAGCAAGTAAAACGCACAGAAGATTCTTGTCATGAAATCCGAAAACATACCTGTATTTCAAATGTCAGTATTTATTAAGCGTTGCATATTATTTTACATTTAAAAAAATTACAAATAAAATTTTGTTATAGAATGTAAAACGTTATCTTGAACGAACAAGTGATGGAAAGAGCTACTTTGGTATTTATAACAAGCATGGCTTTGATAATGCTTTGAGAACAGATTTAGCAAAATATATTATAGCAGCAGAGTTAGCTGATGATCCCAACAAACGGTGAGTATGATGAGATAATCTGCTGTTTTCATTATTGCACAGTTATTATTATAATTATAAGCAAAATTAATGATTTTTTTTTTACAGAATTACTTCAGACGATTTCAGACGATTTAGTCTACAAATTGTACAGCTTTTTCCTATGGAAATTGCGGTTAGTTTTATATAATTTTATTAAAATTTTTTTATAATGTATTTATAATAATAGTGTAGTTCTTTGCTCTGTTTATTTATGCAACATTCTATTTTATTTAAAAATAGGATACTTAGTACATCCCAAGAAGGAAGAAGTCTACTGGAACTGATCGTGCAGTACAACCTAAAGGAAAGCTATACGATCAGTACACGAGAGTAGATGTACTATGGGGATTCTACATCAAATATAGGTCAAGGTCAAGGGTGGGAGGAATGTAGGTCAAGAAGGATGGGGAGAATGTAGGTCAAGGAGGAAGGGTAGGGGGAATGTAGGTCAAGGGGGATTAATTAATTAATTAAACAATAATCGATTGAATCATCAATTAATTGATAACAATTAATTTTTTATCAATTATATTTTCGTG